CTGAGGAATGGGGTAGTCCCAGAGACGTGGAAGTGGGGTATAGACTGACAATCCCCAGAAGAGGGGGTGGTGGGGGAGAGATAAACCACAGAACTTATATGCATGTATGCATGAACAGTGGACATGGACAACAAAGCTGGGGACAGGGCAGGGAGGGAGGAGGGAGGGAAGAATCAGTGGGGGGAAAAGAGAAACATCTGTAACAAAAATTAATTAATAAAAAATAAATAAATTAAAAAACATTCTTGTAGGTAGCATGGAAGCTACAATATTGGAAGATCACCATCTGACAAGGGTTAGAGCCGTGGAAGGGCCTTTGGGGAGGGAACTGGACTTTCTGCTCTGACAGTGAGGCCTTGGTGGATGAACATTAGGAGGACATTGTCTACTTGGGTCAAGGCTCTCACCCTGAGGCTGGAAGGCACAGCGGCTCACCTCCATGCTTGACATCTCTTCCATGTCCCTAATATATTTCATTTTCAAGTCAAACCATACTGAGTGTAGATGCTCCTGTGTGTACCTGGAATCCATATATCCCTCTGTTCCAAGGACTTATGCAAACCCAACCTTCACATGCAAACTCCATAGCCCAGCAGCCCCTCTTCCTGCCAGGCCCTTCTCCGGGTTGAGTGGCAGCGTGTTGGGCTGCTTGGGGGTGGCCAGGAGTCCTCAGCCCTCACTTCCTGATCCTGGTAGTGGGTGAAGGATTTCATAACTTTGTTGTCTCTGTGGACTGCTAGGATTGGGGTTCGGGGGGTGGAGGTGAGGGACTGCAGAGAAAGAGAAGCAGTGACCCTTTCAAACAGCCTGTGGGACCTGGCTCGGGACCTGGAAGGGAGTGGCCAGATACCAGTCCCAGCTCACACCTGTAGCCAGTCTCCTTTAGCAAATGTTGATAGACACTAGGGATAATTCCAGTTTTTTGTTATAACAAGGGATGAGCAATGAATAATTTTGATCATGTGTCATTTCATAAGGGTGTATCTACAGGAAACATCCCCAGAAGTGGAATCACTGGGTCAAAGGGGATATGCATTTGTATCTTTCATAGTTATTATAAAATGTTCCTTTACAGGAGTTGTACCAATTTATACTCCCACCTGAAATGCTTAGCGGTGGAGGTCTTCTCACAGTTTTGCCAACAGGGTGTGTTAACTTTTGATATTTGTAATCTGATAGAGCATTTGTAGTCAAAGTGTTGTTAATTCATCTTATTATAAATAATGTTCAGCATCTTTTACTCAGTCCTAGATCTGAGAATATTTCCTTTTTTGTTGACAGCATATTAACATATCTTTGTTGGATTTTTGCCTATTGTTTTGTTACGTTTTTGTTATTGATCTTTCTAATGTTTTGAGGAAACGCTTTGTATACTAAGCAAATTCTTCCTTTGTCTGAGATACTAGTTACAACAGTTTCTTTTTGTGTTTTGACTTGGCTTCTAGTGACTTCTGCGATCCGGAAGGTTCACTCCTGGCATCGTTCCTTCCCACGCTCCCACGCTCCCACGCTCCCACGCCTGCGTTCTCGCAGTCCCTCCACCTGGAGTGCCTTTTTCCTTCCTTTCTACGTGGGGACGGCGGCTCACCCTGTAAGGCCTGACTCAGACATTGCCCTCTGTGATCCTCTGTCCGGCACAGCAGATCTACCTCCCACCAGACTGCTTCCTTCTTGCTGAAGCACCTCTACTTGTCATGCTGCCTTCATTTTGCTTGTGTATCTCTGCCTGTCCTGTCTAACTAGGAATGTCTTACCTTTCTCCCAGCCCCTAGTCCATAGTATTTGCTGTATACATGTCTGTGAGTAAATGAACAGAGAAATCGTCAGCAGCTGTTTCCACAACCCTCAGTCCCTCTAATGCTTCGGCTGATCCTGTTTCCAGATAAACTTTTTTTTTTTTTTAAAATAAAGTGGCTTTTATTATTATTATTATTTTATTAATTTATTTTTGTTACAGATGTTTCTCCTTTTTTTCCCATCGACACCGTCCTCCCCATCCTCCCTCCCCAGCTTTGTTGTCCATGTCCATCGGTTATGCGTACATGCATATAAGTTCTGTGGTTTATCTCTTCCCTCCCCCCTTCTGAGGATTGTCAGTCTGTACCCTACTTCCATGTCTCTGGGTCTACCCTGTTCCTCAGACTGTTATGTTCATTATATTCCACAAATAAGTGAGGTCATGTGATATTTGTCTTTCTCTGCTTGGCTTGTTTCACTTAGGATAATACTCTCCAGGTCCCTCCATGTTGTCTTTCTTACAGCTGTGTGGTACTCCATTGTGTATATGTACCACAGCTTTTTTATCCATTCATCTACTGACAAACATCTGGGCTGTTTCCCAGATCTTAGCAATTGTAAATAGTGCTGCTATGAACATGGGGGGTACATATATTCTTTCTGATTGGTGTTTCAGGCTTCTTAGAGTATATTCCTAGAAGTGGGATCACTGGGTCAAATGGCAATTCAATTTTTAATTTTTTGAGGGAACAACATAGTATTTTCCATAGTGGCTGCACCAGTCTGCATTCCCACCAGCAGTGTACTAGAGTCCCCTTTTCTTCACATCCTCGCCAACACTTGTTTGTTGATTTGTTGATGGTGGCCATTCTGACAGGTGTGAGCTGATACCTTATTGTTATTTTAATTTGCATCTCTCTGATGATTAGTGATGTTGAGCTTTTCTTCATATGTTTCTTAGGCATTTGTATGTCCTGTTTGGATAGGTGTCTCTTTAGGTCCTCTGCCCATCTTTTAATTGGGTTCTTTGTCTTCCTTTTGTTGAGTTGTATGAGTACTCTATATATTTTGGAAATTCACCCCTTATCTGATATATCATTGACAATTATGCTCTCCCATACAGTGGGTTCCCTTTCCATTTTGATGGTTGTTTCTTTTGTTGTGCAGAAGCTTTTGAGTTTGATGTAGTCCCATGTGTTCATTTTCTCCTTTGTTTCTATTGCCTTAGGTGATGTATCAGTGAAAATTCTGCTGCGTATGATGTTTGAAATTTTGTTGCCTACAGTTTCTTCTAAGATTTTTATGGATTCATGAGTCACATTTAAGTCATTCTCTATTTTGAGTTTATTCTTGAGTATGGTGTAAATTGATGATCTAGTTTCATTTCATTTTTTTGCATGTAGCTGTCCAAGTTTCCCAATACTATTTTATTTTATTTTATTTTATTTTATTTTATTTTATTATTATTTTTTATCCTCACCCGAGGACATTTTTCCATTTTTTGTACAGATAGAGTGGGAGGGAGAGAGAGGAACAGAGAGAGAGAGAGAGAAACATTGATGTGAAAGGAACACATCGAGTGGCTGCCACCTGCACAACCAACCAGGGCCGGGGACAAACTGCAACCGAAGTACATGCCCTTAGTGGGAACCGAACCCGGGTCTCTCAGGACCGCAGGCCGATGCTCTAACCGCTAAGCCAAACCGGCCAGGGCCCAATACCATTTATTAAAGAGGCTGTCCTTACTCCACTGTATGCTCTTGCCACCTTTGTCAAATATTAATAGAGCATAATGTCTTGGGTCAATTTCCAGGTTCTCTGTTCTGTTCCACTGATTTATATGCCTGTTCTTGTGCCAGTACCAGGCTGTTTTGATTACAGTAGCTTTGTAGTATAACCTGATATCAGGTTTTGTGATCCCACTTACTTTGTCCTTCTTTTTCAAGATAGCTGTGGTTATTCAGGGTCTTTTTTGGTTCCATATGAACTTTTGAAGTATTTGTTCTAGTTTTGTGAAATATGTTGTTGGTATTTTGATGGGGATTGCATTGAATCTATAGATCGCTTTGGGTAGTATGGACATTTTAATGATGTTAATTCTTCCAATCCATGAACAAGTTATGTGCTTCCACTTTTTTATATCTTCTTCTATTTTTTTTTTTTTTTTTTTTATGCCCTGTAGTTTTCTGCAAATAGTCCTTTACTTCTTTGGTTAAATTTATTTAGGTATCTTAATATTTTTGCCACAATGGTAAATAGGATTTTGTTTGTTTGTTTCTCTTTCTGTGATTTCATCATTGATATATAAGAATGCTGTCGATTTGTTGATGTTAATTTTGTATCCTGCTACTTTTCCAAATTCATTTATTAAGTCTAGTAAATTTTTGATGGAGTCTTTAGGGTTTTCTATGTATAATATCATGTCATCTGCAAATAATGACAGTTTCACTTCCTCCTTTCCAATTTGGATCCCTTTTATTTTTTCTTCATATCTGATTGTTGTGGCTATGTCTTCTAGTACTATGTTAAATAAGAGTGGCGAAAGTGGGCATCCCTGTCTTATTCCTATTCTTAAGGGAAATGCTTTTAGTTTTTGCCCATTGAGTATGATATTGGCTGTAGGTCTTTCATATATGGCCTTTATTATGTTGAGATATGATCCCTGTATTCCCACATTGCTGAGCATTTTTATCAGAAATGGGTGCTGGATTTTGTTGAATGCTTTTTTATCATCTATTGATATGATCATGTGGTTTTTGTTTTTCATTTTGTTATTATTATTTTAAAATTGATTTTAGGGAGAGAGGAAGAGAGGGTGAGAGAGAGATAGAAACATCAATGAGAGAGAACATCAATTGGCCGCCTCCTACATGCTCACCCCCCCCCCCCCCCGAGGATTGGGCCCACAACATGGGCATGTGATCTGATCGGGAATCGAACTGGCAACCTCTTGGTGCCTGGGTTGATAGTCAACCACTGAGCCACACTGGCCAGGCTTCAGATGAACTTTTTGCACCAAATATCCTTTGCTTGAAAACCAGAAATGAAGGGACCGGTGGGAAGCGGCTGTGCTGGTCAGGGGTGTTTCCAGATACTTGTGGGCGCTCGGTGAGGAGCAGGCTGCAGTTCCCCAGCCGGGCTCCCAGGGCCCCATTCATTCATCTTCCCTCTTCTGCATCGGATCCAAGAAAAGTCAATCACCACAGGGGAACACGTTTTTTTGTTTTTGTTTTTTTAAATTTATTTACAATTATTAAGCAGTGTGGTCTTACTTCCTTATTCATAAACATTCCTATTAAAATAATCTGAGCTTATTCAGTCTGGTGAAGGGACTTGATGTAAAGACAACATTCTCATTCAAAAGAAGTTGGTTCCTTAGACGCTGAAGACCTGGCTCCTTCTTGCCCACCTTGCTCTACATTAAATACATAAACCAACAATAAATAAATAAAAAGATAGTTTACATAGTTGCACATTGGAAGCTGTGTGCAAAGGACAGAGGGTTTGAACGGAGTATGCGGCTTCTGCCCGGATGGCTGTGTGAGCAGAGAGGAGAGCGAACCGGCTCAGCCCAGCGGTCTGAGGACTGGCCCTAGGAGGAGGGGCCGCTTCTCCTGGCGGGCGGTTTCCCCAGCACGAATGTGGGGCGAAGTGAAGCACAGCTCGCAGCCTCGTTCAAACCCTCTGTCCCGTCCTGCAGCATCTGAGAGCTCTGAGGGCACCTGTGAGCACATTCCTCTCAGTGACCCAGGATTTCCAAGGTGAAGTCAGTGATATCCCGGCCACCTCTGCTGCTTCCCAGGAAGACGGGCATCTGTTCTGCTTGCGAGGTGCTGATGTACCAGTTGGGGTACAGGGCAGACTCAAATTCTACCTTGTCCAGGGCTCCTGTCTTGTTGAAGACAAATCGCTTGTCTATCTTCTTCTTTGGCTGACTGTTGAGGTCCAGTGTCTACAGCAAAACAGAAATACACATTTTCGTGAGGGAAGAAACAGATGCTCTGGGAAGCTGTTCTGTGGGAGAGAGGAAACCGAAGGCCGGGACCGGGAGCCAGATTCCTGAGTTACCTTGGTGACCCAGCTTTCCATGTGATGGCTGAAGGAGTTCTTATCCTTTTCTGAAACTGAGTGTCAGATGGTAGGAAGAATAATATAGGTGGGCATTTTTTAAAAAATGAAAATTAGGCTAAAGCTTCTAGGAGTACCTAGCTTCCAGGGACTTTGGCTGTTATTATGATTGATTATGATTATGATTATTTTCCTGTATTGATTTTACAGAGAGAGGAAGTGAGAGGGAGAGAGATAGAAACATCAATGAGAGAGAACATCTATTGGCCTCCTGTATGCCCCCCACTGGGGATCAGGCCCACAACCTGGGCATGTGTCCTGACTGGGAATTGAACTGGTGATCTTGGTGCATGATTCGATGGTCAACCACTGAGCCACACCGGCCGGACTATTGTTATTTTATAATGGTCCCGGCTAGACTTCAACTTGGACATGAAGCTTTAGCTAGGAAAGCTGGGAGGGAGAAGGAGGGATTGTGATTTGGGGAGTGGAGATGGTAACAGGTGACAGGTCTCTTGAATTGATTAATTTTCCAAAGGGTCATCTATCCAGTGAAACAACCCTGACAATCCACCATCTGCTGGGTGGGAACAGGGACAGGGCACAATAACATCAGTGAAATGATTTCATTTTCTGTGATGGAGGCGAAAGTTGCATGCACTCAACAGTCACAGCAGATTTATTTACAGCTCCGTCCAACTGTCCAGGAGTCTGCTCCCAGGCTTTCTGGAGGGAGAGGGTGGTTGTCTTGGAAGTCAGTGATGGCTAGGGTGCTCCAGGGGAACTGGGCAGGACCTTCAGCCCCTGGTCCTCACTCACCTCCAGCTGCAGGGTGGGCTTCTTGTCCTTCATCACACAAGACAAGAACAGGTTCTTCTCCTTGATGCCCAAGGCCACGGGCATCTTGTCGATACTTTCAGGGCCTGGCACAAAGCTCATGGAGAACACCACTGGAGGAAGAAGAGGGGCCGGTGGTCAGGGGTGCACAGTAGGGCAGAGTTGCCCCAAACACTGGATCTTACGCCCAGGACTCATACAATTTAGCCTCCTCTGTGGGACCCTCCCTATGGATTATCAGACACCACGGCAGGGTCGGTTGGTTGGTTCCAGTTTTGCCCAGAGAAAATCCAGGGCTTTACAGAGTCTCATTACAGGGGCAATGAAGAGTTATGAAGGGCCTAGTTTTTAAAAAGTGAAGGAAGGAAGGGAACCACCTTGTCATGAGCCAGTGTGGGCCCATTGTCATGAGCAGAACAATTTGATCAATGTGAAAGGCAAAGAAAGAGGTCAAGCTGGGCTCCTGAAAAAAATTAGGCACAAATCTATTTTAAAAATGTAGAGCCACTGGTGGGAAGGGCTGGCGCAAGAAGAGGCTTAGCTGGGGAAAGAGGCGGGGGAGACAGACACTCATTTTAATCTTCCTTAGTCACACCCGTTTCACTTGGAGGCCACAAGGTCATGTTCACAGCCCAGTTCTAAAGAAACAGAATCGTTCTGGCTGAGAGCAGGAAGCTGCCCCCAGTGGTGCCGCTCACCAAGGGCAGCAGCCTGGAGGAGACCAGTCTGCTCCTTCCCGCTGCTTCCTTGCCACAGCCCTGCACACAGGGTGCAGCCACGCTGGCAGGGTGCCAGGCAGATCCCACAACGAATGGGGTCCCCAGTCTTGGAAGACCTGCCAGTTATAGCAGAAAGATAAAAGTTCCTGCTTGTCAGTGAAATTTCCCTCTAAGGACCCATGGGGTGTTGGGTGGGAAGGATGTTAGGGGCCTAGGGGCTGGCAACGGGAATGGGCACATTATCTTTGCACCATTCTGCTTTCCACCTCGACAACAGGAAAAAGGAACCCGCAGGCGGTTAGGTCCATCAGATGACCCCTTTCTAGCAGAAGCCCTGCTGTGGTAGTGTCGTTAAGTGACTCGGCTAGACCGTGGTCCTAGGTGTGCTTGAGCGGTCTAACTTCTCAGTTACAACTCTTGCCAGAAAATGAAGGTGCCAAGGGAACCAATCTGGTGTCGATACTGGGAACCTCCGAAAAGCTTATATGCTTTTTATTACATGTTTTATTTTGTTTTTCTTTCTGACGGATGTTGATGATTTGTCTTAATGTTCTACTTTGTTGCAAATGTGGAGGACGAGCAAGCTGCCGGGACCTGGAGAGAGGAATCAGCATTTCCCAGTTACCTTGTCGGCTGATATTCGGACCGTTGAGGTGAAGAGCCTGCAGCTCATGTGGTTCAGACAGCACCAGGGATTTTTGGTTTCTGTCCCGGAGTGTGCAACTCAGCGTCTGCAGGGCTGCGTCACACTCGAAACTGTCATCCCACACGCAGTTGATGGATTCTGAAATGTGGAGCACAGGGCAGGCTTGATGATAGGAACCGGACTTGTTGGAGAACAAGTACGGCTCAAGAAATCGTAACACGGTGGGGAGGACGTTACAGTGGGTACGAACATCAGATGTGGAAACTGAAGACATGGGCTCAAGCTTCAGCAATTTTGCTTGCTACGGAAGAGCAATAGAGCGACTTATGTAAAATGGCAACCCAATAATACAGGCCCGACAAGGGCTTGTGATGTACAGGAGATTATGTGGGACGAAGCACTCTGAGAATGATTTGCAAGTGTGATTACTCATCAAGGTCTTATTTTGAGAACAGTTCCAACTAAAGAGATGATCAATTTGGTTTCTAGGCTTCTTTGTTTTCCTCCCATCGATGGGCCTAATGCTTGAAAGAATGTTCAACTCTGTAGAAAACTCTGTAAGAGTTTATCTGAACCAAGAATTTGAGGGCGTGCCTGGAAGTAAGATTTCAACAGATAGAGAAAATGCTCCAGAGAATGACAGTTTTGCGGTTCCTTTTGTATACATTAGAATCAAAGGACTTTGTAGTTTCCCCTTGTATGGTAATTTCACTTTTCTCTTGAAGTATTCGTAAGAAGAGGGAAATGCCCTCTCAGAATCCTCAGAGCAGCTCTCTGCTTGTTTCTGTTTCTCTTCTTTTCCTAAGTCCCATTTCAGTTTTCTATAGTCCTTCTTGAGGTGATCTGGCTTTTTACCATCAAAGCAGACCCCTCTTTCCCCGTTAAGAGGCCTTTGGTGAGGTCTGACATGACTGCTTAATTACTGGAGCTATTAATTACTGCTTAATTACTGCAGCTATAAATTCATGATTTTAGTAGCTTTATCTTTTTTTTTGGATAGTTTTAGAAAATTGATCAGCTGAATTACTGGTTTCACATGTTCTAACAGTTAAAGCAAATTCCTTTGTGAACCAACCCATCAGGGTCTTGGGGAGGATTGGGAACATCTTAATTATTCCTTAATTCTGTTCCAGCAAAAGGAATGTATACACTTGCTGGTGTCCCCCACCTGCACTGACGTTTCCCTAAAGGGAGCTGCTCATGTTTCTGGTTTTCCCAGTTTATTCTGGTCTGACTTTCTATTCTCAGTTTCCTCTAGGCCACTAGGGAGTGGTGGTGGAGGAGATGTAGGGGAGACAGAAGGGAGAGCAAGCTCGTGCAAGGAAGCTCAGAAAGCAAAGGATACAGTGGAGCGCTGGAGAGGGGGACAAATGGGGTGTTGGCATCTACTTCACAGAAGCCCTCCTTCGTTCAGAGACGTCTGAACTTCCCTTATTGACTTCCTGGAGAAGTCGAGGGCACTGTTGAGATGCTCAGTTCATCACCTGAGGTAAGCCTCCCAGTCATCCAGTTTAACTGGAGAGCCGGCTTTTTCCCATCGAGCACACAAAAATAATTTAGAGGTATCAAACGAGCCCCATTTTGGCCATCTTAAGCTGTTAACACTTTTGGTTAAATCTTCCCATTTCTGTAAGTACTTGTCGGCAGGGCTCCATACAAAGTATCCTTACAGCCTGCAGGAGCATTAATGGGGGCCAAGTGTCTTGGGGCTCCTTAGCCTTGAAGGCACAATTTTCCATGTTAATTTTAGTTTTCTTTTGAGATCTTTAGAGTTCGAACAAACTTCTAGGGATATTATGTGGTGGGTTGTAGTGTGTTGCTTTACAGGTTAAACTCCAAGGGGCTGTCCTCAAGGGTCACTCAAATCCTCTTAATGTCTGGGTTTTTCTCCCTGGCTAATACAACCCTGAGGCCTTGAAACACCAGGCAGCCGACCTTTATGTGTGCATACCCAGACAAATCGATTATTTAATTACAGTGCATTGGAACTCCCTATGGGCCACTGTGAGTCTTGAGAGTTCCTCAGATATTCCCACAAAGATTCTTAGTCACCTAAGAATACCTGAGATCTGAGCTGGGGGCACTAAATGCCCCCTTTCTTTGAAACTGAATGAATTCAGACTGTCATTTATCTAGCAAGCATTTTGTTCAGACACTCGGTAAACAATTCTGATGAAAAGCCAAAATTAAAAGCAGTCTCCTAGATGTTTGTGAATGATACATCCAGTAAGGGGCTAATATCCAAAATATATAAAGAACTCATACCGCTCAACATCGAACAAACAATCCAATTAAAAAATGGGCAAAGGGCTTGAATAGACACTTCTCCAAAGAAGACACACAGATGGCTAATAGAAATATGAAAAGATACTTAATGTCACTAATCATCAGGAAAATGTAAATGAAAAATGCCACAGTGAGAAATCACCTCACACCTGTCAGAATGGCTAGTCTCAATAAATCATCAGACAACTAGTATTGGTAAGGATGTGGAGAAAGGAACCCTCATGCATAGTTGGTAGAAATGCAGACTGGTGCAGCCACTGTGGAAAACAGTATGGGGGTTCCTCAAAAAATTAGAAATAAAAATATAATATGACCCAGCAATTCCACTTCTGGGTATTTATCTAAAGGAATCCAAACCACTACTTTGAAAAGTTATATGCACCCCTGTGTTCATTGCAACATAATTTACGGTGGCCAACACATGGAAGCAACCTAGATGTCCACTGATAGGCAACTGGAGAAAGAAGATGTGGTACATATATACAGTGGAATATTACTCAGCCATAAACAATGAAACCTTGCCATTTGCAACAACATGGATGGATCTAGAGGGTATTATGCTAAATGAAATAAGTCAGAGAAAGACAATTACCATATGATTTCACTTGTATGTGAAATCTACAAACCAAAATAAGTAAACAGAAACAGATACAGATAATAAACTGATGGTTGTTAGTTGGAGGGGGGTTGGGGAGAAGGGTGAAAAAGGTGAAGGGATTAAGAGGTACAGATTGCCAGATATAAAAACAACCACTGTAGTCAATAATATTGTTAAAACTATGTATGGTGTCAGATGGGTGCTAGACTTAAGGGGGATCACTTCATAAGGTATTTAAATGTCTAATCTCTATGCTATACACCTGAAACTAACATAATATTATATGCCAGTTATAATTGAAAAATAAATTTAAAAAAAATCAAAGCAGTCTTTAATTTTTCTCCTGTGCCTGGGTTACGTCAACCCTTATCTTATACTGCTACTGCAAGGGTATTCCAAGAACAGCTCAAATAGAGTGAGGACCTGTGACCTCGAGCAAAAGGGAGACCCAGGATTCCAAGAAGAAACTTGCCCAAGTTCACCTGATATGAAGTGGGAGCCGGTGGGGTCAATGGGCCCCTGCTGGTTCCTAGCTCTGGGTCCAGGCTCACCAGGTGGTCCTGGGTGGGCTTATTTAGAACCCTGTTGGCTATGCCAAATAAATGTTGACAAAAGAATGTCCAATCTGTAGAAAGCTTTGTAAGAATTTATCTGAGCCAAGAGTTTGAGGACATGCCTGAAACACAGTATCAACAAACTGAGAAATGCTCTGGAAAATAGCAGTTTTGTAGCTTATTTTATGCATTAGAATCAAAGGAGAAAATGAGAGGAAGGCTAACGAAATCCATTGGCGATAGATTAAGTGGGCAGGAGAAAGCAAAGTAGGAAATCCCTGGGATTCGATAAAAAACAAAATGGAGAGACACATCCTTCCTTTACATTGGTGGGCACAGGAGAGTTCATAACATTTACAGCACATAAAGATAGTATGTGGGGGGAGGGGCAAGATGACAATGAGGGGTTCTGTGGTCTCCTGCCTAGGTGCCTGCAGTTTGCCTCCAAGGGGTAGGAAAAGAAAACTACTTTAACAATTTCAAAAGTGTATTCTCCTGGAGGCATAAGAACAATGGACAGGACACCTTAAGGCAAAGAGTGACATCTGCTAAGGATGCTATAAGCCTGGGGCTTGATAACCTGCCATGACCTGCTCAGAGAGCAATTTGTAATCAGACCATTCTGGGTGATTACTCTGGGTTACCAAGCTTTCTAGGCCTGCCATGTGGCCCCCTGAGCTTGTCAAGTCTACTATGTTGCCCTTTTCATTCACAATAGTTTCAGCTTTGGGGAGTTTAAGTGACAGAGTTACGGATGCTGAGAAGGAAATGAGCGGAGATCTCCTGTCTGCCCTTAGCTCTCATTAAGTACCTTCTTTAAAGAGGCAAAAAAAGAGGCTCCTCAGGTCCTCGTCCTGGAAGTCCTGGGAGCAGACAATGGGCACTTTCCTCAGCTTCTCCACAGCGACAATGACCGACGCGACCTGCCTGAGGCTTCGGTTGTAGAGCTGGTGGGAGATTTTCAGCTGGATGCCCCCATCTGAGCTGAGGTCCAGGTCTTGAAAGGCGCACTGTGGAAAGACGGAGAAAGTGAGCATGTTAGGTGATCAGGCCTGAGACTCCGGTGTTGTCATCAGAGGGGTGGGAGGAGCCTTAGATGTAACTGAGCTTCTAACAGTAGATAAACTCCCGTCTCCCTGAAGCCCAGAGAGGTTAAGTGGCTTACCCAAGGGCACGTGGCAGGTTAGAGACCAGAATGTGGGCTCTCTGATGCCCAATATAGCATTCTTTTAGAATAAATCCCATTTGTACCTGTGTATCTTTTTAAAAAATTATATTTGTATTGATTTTTAGAGAGAGAGAAAGGGAGGAGGGGAAAGAGAACAGAACATTAATCGACTGCCTCCTGCACACCCCCACCGGGGACTGAGCGCACCCGGGCATGTGCCCTGACTGGGCGTGGAGCCAGCAACCTTTTGGTGCACAGGATGAAGCCCAATCAACTCAGCCACACTGGCCAGGGCCCTTGTGCATTTTTTTTACAGCTGCTCTACTAACTGTAAACTTCTACCTTTTTACACTTTATACCTTTTTTTTCAATCATCCTCACCCGAGGACGTTTTTTGTTCAGATAGAGTGGGAAAGAGAGAGAGAGAGAGAGAGAGAGAGAAACATTGATGTGAAAGGGACACATCGAGTGGCTGCCTCCCGCATGACCAACCAAGGCCGGGGACAAACTGCAACCGAGGTACGTGCCCTTAGTGGGAACCAAACCCGGGTCTCTCTGGACCGCAGACTGACGCTCTAACCGCTGAGCCAAACCGGCCAGGGCCACTTTTCACCTTTTTGTACCCCTAATACTCCAACACTACGCATTTACATTTTTATGTCAGCGATGATCATAATATTTTCTATACATCTATGCTCATTCAACAAGTTTTTAATTATTCTAAACAATTCTTTATTTTCCAGAACGCTGTTTCATAAGCATTCTACAAATACATTAAAAGTGGTTACTATTTGTAAAGTATGTTACCACTGTGCCGTTATTCAGAGAAGCTGTTAACTGTATAAGGCTGACTGGGCTTGTCCTGAGGCATGGCGTTGGTTTAAAAGCTTGAGAAGCAGTAACAAGCCTTCCAGCCCTGGCTGGTTTTGCTCAGCGGTTAGAGCGTTGGCCTGCGGTCCAGAGAGTCCCGGGTTCAGTTCCCGCTAAGGGCATGTACCTGGGTTGCGGTTTGTCCCCGGCCCTGACCCAACCAGGGCTATGCAGGAGGCACAAAAAATGGAAAAATGTCCTTGGGTGAGGATAAAAAAGAAGAAAAGAAGAAAAATAAATAAATAAATAAATAAACCTCGACTGTCACAGAGAAATGCTGACTGGGTAGTTCCCGCCGGAGCAGAGGCTCCGAGTAACAGAGCCAGGTTGCTGGGACAGGCAAAGGGCCAGCCAGAGAAGCCACACCCCACCCAGGACGGGACTAAAGCAGTTATGCTGGTTTGAAAACATTTTAGGTGAGACCCAAAAGGGTGAAGTGACTTGTCCAAGGTCAAACAGCAAGTGAAGGATCTCCTTCCCACTCCCCATTCATATTTTTGTTTACATCATCTGCATCTTGTCATTAACTCCACCCCAGGGAGCAAAAAACGATTCCACCTTAAAGGGGTGCAGACACATTAACTCTCAAGGTCATCTCCTCTGGGTTTCAGAACTGGGCTCCAGTGAGTAATGTAGGCTGAGCCCGTCTCCTAAGAGGAGAATCAATGGGCTGCAGCCCATTGAAGCCTTGGCTGTCTTTCTGACATCAGACAGCAAACCTTATCACCACTGTCATGCTCCTTGCCCTCTGCCAGAATGACGCCATCAGCAAGCCCTAGTGACTGACGGTGTGGTGTGGGAGCCACACAGTGGCCAGCTCAGCACACATGGCAGCCTGCACCTGTCTTTCTGGAAGACGTGAAAGTCATTCCATCACAAGCCACCACAGGATCAAGGTGGCCCAGAGCTCCTCCTCGAGCCTTTCCCAGCTCAAAGCACCTCTGCGTGTTGGATGCTAAGCTCCTGGTCTCACCTCAGTCTGCTGGAGGCCATCAACCTCAAAGAACAGGTCATTCTTGTTGTCACTGTAATAAAAACAAGCACTGCTCAATTATGCCTCCCAGACAAGCTTATTTTTTCTTCCTGCAAACAGTCTTTACTGTAATAGGAAGCTACAAGCAGCACGTCCCTTAAAGCTGCCGGGAGCTGGCAAGTTTCGTGGGGATATACGTGGAGGCAGGGCAGGCATGAGCGCTCCCTGCGGGGTCCTGGGGCCCAATGTCCAGCCCAGTTAAAATCTGAGCTTTCCCTGCCACCGAAGCCAACTTCTCCCTGTGCCACCCACCTGGCATCTCCTCCTGCTATGCCATCTGCAGGAAGCCCCGGCAGCGGCACTGGGATGCCCGTGGGTCCCAAGGCTGGGCTTGTGGGAAATCGGCATTTAAACCAGGTTAATGTGGAAACCTGCTTGCCACTGAGAGGCCCAGTCTAGCGGACAAATCTGGTCTCCACGCACAGACAGCATTTCACTCTAGAAAGGGGACCCCTGCTCACGTGACTGGTCTGTCTCCCCACTGACCTGTAGAAGCCCATCACTTCGCTGGCGAGCTCGGCGGCCATGGCTGCTTCGGAAACCTGCGAGAAGAGGGGAATGAGTGACTGCTTGCTATGCCAGGCCCCTGGTGAATTTCCCTCCGCACCCAACACACGGCCAGCACCCAAAGACACGATCCGAATGAACGAACAAATGGATGAGAGAGCTCCGTTTGGGGCCAGAGAAAACATTTAAATAAAATTCTTTTTTTATCCTCACAAGAGGACATTTTTGCATTTATCTTCAGATAGAGCGGAAGGGAGAGAGGGAGGAAGAGAGAAAGGACAAACATCAATGTGAGAGACACATTGAGTGGTTGCCACCCACACGACCCCAACCGGAGCCAGGGACAAACTGCAACCGAGGTACGTGCCCTTAGCGGGAACCGAACCCAGGATTCTCTGGTCCTCTGGCCGACACTCTAACCACTGAGCCAAACCAGCCAGGATCAGAAGAAGCATTTGCTAAACCAAACCCAAATCAGGAGTGCGCCTGTTAGGAAATCTGGGGCAGAAGCTTTGACTTTGAGCTCTCAGGTGCTGGCTGCTATGAGCAGTCTTGATTTCAGAATATTCCTCAAGTCATAGCACAACGGTACACTCGGCGTTTGTGCAAAAAGCCCAGCCTTCAGACAGCGAAGGAGAGAGGGGGAGAAGGAGACAGAGAGGGGGAGAGACAGAGACTCTCTTAGGACCTTGTCGTAAAAGAGTTTGTTAAAGTCATACCCACGCAATGAAGACTCTGGAGAGAACGGAGTTCTGGTCTAGCTAGCTGTACCTCGCAGAGGAATGCTGTCTGCCAATTTCTCCCTCACTGTTTTATAGCGTTCAAAAGCAGAAGTGGTGAGAAGAAAATTTCCCCTTTGGTAAACTGGTGTCATAATCAAGTTAAAAAAAAAATAAAAAGGATGATGGTAACTTCTGGGAGAAGGTAAACTGAACGAATTTTCCAGTCCATAAAAGGGCAGGTGGGCGGGAGCTGAGACACATATGCACACACATTGTCCCACAAATAAACAAAGTAGGATTTTCCTAGGTTAGAGGATGTTTTCATCGGAATTTTGGTAGGTACTGCAGTGAATCCGTAGATTGCTTTGGGTAGAACAGAGATTTTAACAACATTAATTCTTACAGACTATCCATTTCTTTGTGTCTTTTTTCATTTCTTTCATCAATGTCTTATAGTTTTCAGGGTACAGATCTTTCACCTTCTATTAGGTAAAATTTATCCCTAAGTATTTTATTGTTTTTGTTGCTATGGTCAACGGGATCATTTTATTTCTCTTTCAGATGTTTTGTTGTTAGTGTGCAGAAATGCACCAGACTTTGTTGAACTCAGATAGCAGTGCAGTGCCTGCCTCAGGGCAGCCCTCACATGTTAGCATAGGAATGAGTCGCTGGGTCATAACTGGTGCATGGAGTCTAGGAACGGGGTCTTCCCTGTCCCCTTTGGACAGCTATATCATCGCCCTTATTGTGGCACTGAACGGAAACCCTGCTCACTGAGCTGGTTCCCGCAGGAGGCTGAGAACTCTTTTAAAGGTGGGTCTACCGTGCCTGGTATGCAAGCTCAGACAGTGAATGCTTGCTGCCTGAGTAGGTGAGCAGGAATTGACAGTGTTTTCACTCAAATAAGCACGTGCCCATTCTGTGCCTATGCTGTGCTTGCTGCGTGGTTCATAGCCGGAAGCCTGACTTGTGCAGGGAGGAGAGAAACAGATTCTGCTGTGGGGCAAGGACAGCCAGTGGGCTTGCTCACCAAGAAGTCTTTTGATTCTTTCTTTGGCTCCTGGTGCCTTCCTAGGCAGACACAAGAATTTTATCTTTGGTAAGTTACATGCTCCCCAGGAATTGCAAAACTGCATCCTATTCAATGTATCAGTTTCTTGTGTGTTTGGTAAGCCATAGCCTGTTCTCAGCTCTGAGCCCTCACAGAATTGGGTGTCTGGTTCTTCAGATATCCCAGAGACCTTGTCTAGGGAACCTGGTGAAGTCCTCTTTTTGCCTCCACAGTATCCACTCTGCAAAGTAACCACTGGTCCCCAAGTCTCATTGTTGGAACTACCTCCTTGCTCAGAGTCTCTGCGTTGGAGTCAGTGGCACCCGCTGGTTTGGTAGTTCTGTGGGCTCTCTGACGGAGAACACGAGATGCTCTCCATCTGTGGATGTGATTAGAAGCTGAATGAGCCCTGGCCGGTTTGGCTCAGTGGGTTAGAGCGTCAGCCTGCGGTCCAGAGAGACCCGGGTTTGGTTCCCACTAAGGGCACGTACCTCGGTTGCAGTTTGTCCCCGGCCCTGGATGGGTTGTGCAGGTGGCAGCCACTCGATGTGTCCCTTTCACGTCGATGTTTCTCTCTCTCTCTCTCCTCTCTCTCCCTCACACTCTATCTGAACAAAAAACAAACAAACAAAAACAAACAAAAAAGAAGCTGAATGAAGGGTGAAAGCCAGTGATGAAGGATGTACTCCAGGGACTGGGGCCCCACGTTTGAGTTAATCTATTCTGTTCCTGGGGCTTGAGATAGAGGTAAGAATCTTGACTCTATTTCTCCATCATCCAGTATCCAGGGTGTATGAATCTCATTCTTTGTGCGCAAGGGAAAGTTTGGAGCCATGGGGAAATGCCTCTTGACGTAGTTGACTACACTGGTGTCTACATATCTCACCCCGGCCCTGTAGCCCACATGCAAAACCTGGCGGCATCCTGTCCCCCAGGAAGTGAAACGTTTTGTTGTGTTATGCAGCAGGTTGCCCAATATGTGTATTAAACTGTCTCTCCAAGGAGACCGCTCAGGTCACAGCACTTCCTTCTAGTCGCCAGAGAGCAGAGGACATCTCAGGATAGAAGTAGTGGCACTGGGGTGGGTCCTGAGAGGGTGATAATAATGCAGATGGTGACACGTACCCCGGGAAAAGGAACCAGCGGAAGTGGGGAGTGAGCAATGCCAGGATGTCGTGGGGAGCTCCAGCTTTGGGGAATTCTTCAGCTCTTACGTCACTCAAGACTTTCTCAGATGCAAGTTGCCCTCTACCATGGCAGGTCATTCCTCCAAGAGAGGAGACTGGCATTTACCCAGAGCGACAAGTGCCGTGGTACCATCTTATGTCTGATCTTGGGCTTCTACCCTCTCTTATGAAGATTGGCTCTACCCAAATAGTTTTCAATCATTTTGAACAAGAAGACAAGCAAAATGATCATGGCTAGTTTCTTATATTCTCATGGGTGAATGTAGTAATGTCCGCTCTCTGCTGTGGGTCATTCCTAGGGCTCCTTCTCTTGCTCAGAACTAAGCCATGATGGTTCCCACCATTTCCCCCAATCTCATCTCATCCTTGGTGTTGACTTCCCAACATTGTTCTATATATATATATATATATATATATATATATATACACACACACACACACACACAGACATACATACATATATATATATATATATATCCTCACCCGAGGACATTTTTGCATTTAGATAGAGCAGGAGGGAGAGAGGGAGGATGAGGGAGAGAGAACCATCGATGTGAGAGAGACACATCAAGTGGTCGCCACCCACACTACCCCAACCGGGGCGGGGGACAAACTGCAACCAAGGTACATGCCCTTAGTGGGAACCGAACCCGGGACTTTCTGGTCTGCGGGCTGACGCTCTAACCGCTGAGCCAAACTGGCCAGGGCCCTAATATTGTTATTAAGTGTCTGCCTCTCCCTGCATAATTTCTATGGGTCTTTCTGGCATCTGAAAGTATGAATGTCCTGTGTAGCCCTATCTGTCTCCATGGATGCTGCTCTCCTTTGCTTTCTGCTTTGAGGATTATTTGGGATTGGACGACTTTTACTTTTGAGACCTCTGCTCCTCATTTTATAGCACCATCTTCTTGGGCCTGCCACCCCTCTTGGACCGAGGTCCTCAGAGAGGGGACTGGCGGACCCAGGGATGCACCCCTTCTCCCCAGTCTAGAGCAAGGGAGCTTAGCTACATGAGCGGGGGCTGGGCCTGATGAGGTGTATGGACTGTTGGCTTCTCCACCTCTGGGAGGCCAGTAAAACCTTGTCTTTCCTTTGGATCCAGCAACAAAAGCCCCGTGGTGGGTGAGGTGGAAGCCAGGCCCTGCTCCTCCATGTCTTTTCTCATATGTAACGTTGTAAGAGTTGCACAAACACGGGGCTCTGGTACCACTTACACCAAGGGGCTGGAAATGTTATCCATAAAGGGCCGTTGGAAGAAGCTGCCACACAGGACCTTTTCTTCAAAATAGGTTTCATAATGAGTGATGTTTGATCAGACAGTTTCAGAACTGATTTGTCAAAAGTAACCAGTGATATGCACAAGTGAAAGTTATATACTAGAACTAGTAGTAATTTAAAAAATAGAAAAGGGACAGATAGTGGATATTTTAGGCTCTGCGGGCCACACGGTTTCTGTTGCCACTGCTCAGCTCAGCCCTCGTTGTGCAGAAACAGCCGCAGGTGATGCACAGATGGACGGCTCTAGCTGGGTTGGTCCTGCAGGTCGTGGGATGCAGGCCCCCATACCACACCATCCTATTACACCATTTTCCTTGGACACAAATTTAGAAACAATACTTAACAACAACAACAACAACAACCACTTGTTCTTTACTGGGGGGAGGGTGGGAATAAAAAGCTGTGAAATTGTTCAACCTACTTTGTAACCAAAGAAGCAAAGCTGTGTAATGGAGTTTTTGTTGTTGTTGTTGTTTGTTTGTTTGTTTGTTTTTTATATAGTGCACATTCTCTTTTTTTTTTTTATCCTCACCCGAGGACATTTTTGCATTTATCTTCAGATAGAGCGGGAGGAAGAGAGGGAGAAAGAGAGAGAGAGAGAAACATCAATGTGAGAGAGACACATTGGCTGCCACCCACACGACCCCAACCAGGACCAGGGACAAACTACAACCGACGTATGTGCCCTTGTGGGACCCGAACCCAGGACTCTCTAGTCCGCAGGCCAACTCTCTAACTGCTGAGCCAAACTAGCCAGGGCAATGCACATTTTTTTTTTTTTTTATCCTCACCCGAGGGCATTTTTTCATCTCTTGCACAGACAAAGAGATGAAAAGACCGGCCAGGGTGCAATGCACATTTTTAATGTATTTTTATTTAGTGTTTTCTTGGTCACAATTTTCTTCGCTGTCTAGCATGATCTGTATGCCCTATACTCTTTGAACCACTTTCGTCCCTCATGTTTTTATCCAGCACTCTTATTGTAATAAGTACTAGTCTGCGAACAATGTCAAATAAAGCATGGTGGGGCTGAGCTAGTACACTGGGCGCTAGTTGTAAAATACAAAAGAAAGGAAGTGAGCCACCTTTTGTTCATTTAAAATGGTGTTTTGAATTTTGTATGCAGAAGATGTTTTGTTACATTTTATATTTTATAAAAGCAACATGCCGAAAAAAAACAAAAAACTGTTCTGTACTGAGCACCTACTAAGTGCCAGGCACTTTTGTCTCATGATCTTATTTAATTTTTTTTTTTTTTTTATCCTCACCCGAGGATATTTTTCCATTTTTTGTACAGATAGAGTGGGAGGGAGAGAGAGGAAGGGAGAGAGAGAGAGAAACATCAACGTGAAGGGACACATCGAGTGGCTGCCACCCGCACGACCAACCAGGGCCGGGGACAAACTGCAACCGAAGTACGTGCCCTTAGCGGGAACCGAACCCGGGTCTCTCCGGACCGCAGGCCGACGCTCTAACCGCTGAGCCAAACCGGCCAGGGCTCATGATCTTATTTAGTCTTCACAATAAACTTTAAGGTAGATAGTATTGCCCCATTTCATCTACTGGGAAACTAAG